ATTTTATTTTATTTTTCTAAAATTTTAATTCTTTTATATTTGAAAGGACTAGTAAAAAAGAATAGGAATGTTTGAAATGTAGGATTCTCTTTATTGGAAAATTTTCAAAGGATGTCTTATTAAAAAAAAACATTTGTTACTATTTATAGGTCTTTGTTTCTTATAAAATACATTATTTTTGAAAAAAATAAAAAGTTAAATATCAAATAAAATAAAATTTGAGATTACCCTTTCCAGAATACTTTATGAAAAATATATGATACATTTTATCTAAAAATTTATTTAATTAATTAAAAACCAATAGTAAATTTAAATTAAGAATTGTTATTTATAAATTTAGAATTCAAATTTAATTTGTTTGGAATTCAGTTTATATGATTGTTTTCAGGTTTCTAACAAATAAAACAGATTTCTGTAGTTTGAAATAATTATTAAATTCTAAAAAATCTTTTGTAATTACTTCTGAGTTAACCTTTTTGTTTCCATGTTCTGAAATTTAAAATATCCTATTTCTGGAAGTTCTGATTTTGAATATCTGTATACCTGTTTTAAACAGAAAACTATCTCTGTTTTAAAAGGTTTCTTTGTTTAAAAATTTTAATCATCTGCTCTATATTCCATAAATAGAAAATTACTTTTATAATATTCTATATAGATTTCTATTTCGCATTTCACCAGTATATATTTTTTAAATTCAATAGAAAATACAGTGAAACACAAATATAAACCATTTGATTTAATGAGATAAATAACTGACAATTGTACGTCAAAAACATAAATATTAAAAAGTGAAAGGAAAATCGAACTATTTACTTTTTTGCTAAAAAAATTGGTGAAACTGATCAAGAAAATTCTTGATATTTCTTAAAAAAGAATTAATAAACATCTCCTTCCCTGGTGCACTGACAGTTATAGTATCTACAAAATTAAGATTTGTTATGTTTTCAGAATTATCATCAGGTTTAATAGATCAAAGCAGTACGTATCATACTCTGGAGTTGAAAAGTACAGTGTATTGAATGAATTGCGCAATAGCTATGTCAAAAGAATCTGCCAATTAGGGCCAGATAGGTGCATTTGATGAGAAATACTTATCACAAAAACAATCAGATGACTCAAAATTCAAATCAATACTTATCATAAAATTATTCGTCCTCTATTGGATAGAAGAGAAACATTGATCGTCCAGAAAGATAAATAGACCTGGTTGATTATAAATTTATTGTCTTCATCTCGTCACTCAAGAATGGAGGATGAAATTTCTCTAAAAATAATAATATAACAAATATTTAAGAAATTATCAAATAAAGCATGCTTCAAAATTTCCAAATGAGGTGCTCTCGATGAAATTGAAACCAAATCATCTTTATTATGCTTAGTTGGTGTCAGTAAAAAGTGCTTGAAATGGTCAGTAAAATTGTGACCGATTACAATCTAGCTTCCATAAGTTTTTCTCCTCTCTTCCTCATGAAAATGGGATGATTTAGATGGATCAATAAATGGATCAACACATGGAATTATAATGATATATTTAAAAGTGATCATTCATATATGTGAGAGAATAAAACTTAATAAAGATGCAATGAAGAACTTATCTATGATTAATTCTTACTTATTGTTGTATGTTTTTTTTATCATTGTTGCCCCCTCTGTGTACAATAAGCCCCGGATGCCATGACTGTTAATCCTATATCAAGAAATAAAGGGTCATACACAGAGAATTGGAGCCAAACACATCAAAAACTTCAAAATTATGAGAAATATTAACTTAAATGGCCTCAAATAATTGACAATTAATATTTTAAATATTCAAAAAGGAATAAAGTGATCCATCATTATTCGACAACTCATTCTCAAGTTTTTTTTGCTGATTCTAAGGTGATTCAGTCAAAAGTTGTGAGTTATACTTATTTTTTAATTTAGTTATATTATTTTCAGATCCTGTTGAAAAATATGTCCCATCTAAAAGTAATCTAGTTTAAGTATTTTTTTAACAAATGACAAGAAATTTATGAAACCTGGAGAGACGTGAATCCCTAATTTGCAACTTTTTATATTTTGGGCGTTGATATTACTTATTATAGTTAATTAAACTTTGAAAATGCTAAAATTTTTATTTTGTTCCCTGTTTTGGACAATTACAGCTCAAAACTACTACAAGTATATGCAAGAATATGGGATAAGGTATCCTAAACTGTTGGAGGGAAAAAAGATTTGGACCCTTTGTTACACTGTTTCTAAAACTTATATTTGGAATTGCCATATATACACACGTACTAAACTTATATTTGAAGAAAAACATAATACATACACACGATTAAATTTATTAAAAGATAGGTAGCAAAATAATTTATCCTAAACAAAATCTAGTTGGAGAAGGTCTCATGTTTAAAGTGAGACATTTGGTTTTAGTTAACCCAATTTTATAAACCATATCTATCTATGATTCCTTTGTAACCTTTACAGATTCTTCTCATAGGACATCAAATATATGTATATACATATATACATATGTATATATATACATATATATGTATATATATACATATATATATACATATATATATATATATATATATATATATATATATATACATATATATATATATATATACATATATACATACATATATACATACATATATACATATATATATACATACATATACATACATACATATATACATATATACATATATACATACATATATACATATATACCTACATATA